CTCTCTAGTTCCCTCCTCCTCCAATGCCCGCCTCCAGGACTTCTCCAGGGCATCACCCATCCTCTGGAACTCCCTACCCCCCAATCCATCAGACTATCACCCACTCACCTCTCCTTTAGGCGCACCCTAAAAACCCACCTCTTCAGGGAAGCCTACCCCACCCTCTGCTAACTGCCGATCTCCTCCACTCTTCCTACCACTCCATCTCCCACAGCTTTTCCTCCCGTACCACTATCCCCTCCCTCCTCCTAGATTGTAAGCTCCAAGGAGCTGGGCCCTTGAACCCCTCGTGTATCGCACTGTATTGTTATTGTACTGTCTCATGTATTGTCCCTCATTGTAATGTACAGCACTGAGCGAACTGTTGGCGCTATAAAAATACTGTATAATAATAATAATACTATAATAGTGTTGCATGAATACAGTATGTCTCTGTTTGGTCTGTGGCCATTTTGGCCGACAAGGTTAAAATGTTCAGAATTTGATTGAAGTCAATGGAGAAAAAATTATTGTGTTATTTTTTTGAGCCTCTGGTGGGCAATCACAGCAACCAAAAGCAACAAAACGGCATGGGAGCCCCACCTCATGTCTGAGGAACATGTTGCTATTTAAAAAAAAAAATGTAAAGGTGGCAAGAGGCAATATTTTCATGACTGAGAGCAACGTGGTTAATATGCCAATGCTCTTCTTAGGATCCTCTTACGCTAATCCTTGTCGGTTTGGAGAATAGTGTCAACCTTTTGCAGCTAGACTGGGTGATTACATTACACACTAACTGGACAGGGTGATGTATTCCTTGCACAATATATGGCGAAATTATGTCTTCCATGCTACATGTTAGCAATTGCTGACAATATTACAACTACAACACTGGTCCACTGAGGAGTGGTTATCTTGGTTTGGATTGTTTAACATTTTTTTCTCAACACATTGTTTTTAAATATTACACAGAGCAAAACAGTATATCCAAGATATCTGGGTACATCCAGTATCAGTTGTGATCCAGATATTTCTGGATGAATTTTTTGTGATCCTTTTAAATCTAAGAACTATACATGGAGCTTTCTACTCTTGGATATACTGTACAATAATATTACTGTGATTTTTAACTCTACTTTTGAAAAGACATTGTCTATACTGTATATTTTCTTCACAGGATTATGGTTGACTATTCTTCTCATCATGCTTCATGCCATATTCCATGAATGACCATGTGCTTGACTCCAGGGTATGATGCATGATTTGTATTGGACATTTGCTTTGCTTACCTGGCAGTCCAATTCTGGGAATAAAAGCCATATAATTGATTGTTATTTACCCAAATGAGATACCAATGATAAAAGTCATTTAATGACACACAAACCTCCAAAAATTGGCTGGACGCAGAATTATTGGCACCCTTTCACAACTGGCGGATAAATAAGAATGTTTTACAAGCGATGGTGATGCTCCTGTATAAACTCACCTGGGGCAATGTAACAGCGGTTGAGCAATATATAAATCACATTATTGTTGACACTACACAACAAGGGTGGAGAGTTTTTCCAAAATAATTGGGGTTGATTTACTAAAGACAACTAGGCTGTTCGCTTTGGGAAGGGAAGTTGCACTTTGCAAGAAAATTTGCCCCAGAGCAAAAAGAATGAGTTAACTGCTGATTTCCATCATCCAACCATGTGCAAGCTAAAATGTTGTTTGTTTTTAAATTTCCTTGCCCATGATTGCATATTCTTTATGAAGTGAAACTGCACTAATATCACTAAGCTCTGGGGAAAATCACCTTGCAAAGTGCAACTTCACTTGAAAATTGAACAGCCTACTTGCCTTTAGTAAATTAACCCAATTGACACAAGGACAGTGATAATATATATCTAACCATCTTGACAATCTCTGAAGATTTTTCAAGTATATATAAACTTTGAGAACTTACATGCTTATGCTTTCAAGTACCTAGATAAAATAGCATTGTTGATACTGTAAAGTAAGGGTATGACCACCTCTGATTGACATACATTATTATTATTATACAGGATTTATATAGTGCGAACAGTTTGCTCAGCACTTTACAATACAAAGGGAGACAATATAGCAATGATACAGTTCAATACAAGAGGGTTAGGAGGGCCCTGCTTCTTGGAGCTTACAATGTAAGATGGAGGGGCTGGTGGTACAAAAGGTAATAACTGTGGGGGATGGACTGGTAGGAGGAACAGAAGATTCTGTTATTAGCTGAAGGCACTATAGGCTTCCCTGAAGAGATAGATTTTCAGAGATTGCCTAAAAGTGGGCAGAGTAGACCATAGTCAGACAGATTGGGGTAGAGAGTTCCAGAGGATGGGGGAGGCTCTGGAGAAGTCCTTGAGATAAGCAAGGGAGAAGGCAAGGGAACTAGAGAGCAGGAGGTCGTGCGGGGAGCAGAGAGAACAGTTTGGGTGATATTTAGAGACAAGATTGGTGATGTAATTGTGGGAAGAGTTAAACATGGTTTTATATGTTATTGTTAATGTTTTGAATTGTATTAGTTGGACAAGCCAGTGGAGGAATTGGCAGAAATTGATGGCAGATATGGAACAGTTAGTAAGGTGGATGAGTCTGGCAGTAGCATTCATAATAGACTGAAGAGGGGATAGCCTGCAATGAGGTAGGCCAATGAGGAGGGAGTTACAATAGTCAAGGTGAGAGATGACCAGGGAGTGAATAAGTTGCTTAGTAGTTTCAGAGGTTAAGAATGGGCGTATCTTGGAGATGTTGTGGAGGTGAAGTCTATATGATTTGGACAATGATTGGATTTGGGGCTGAAAGGACAGATGGGAGTTTAGGATTACACCTAGTACTCTGGCATGAGGGGAGGGACTGATGGTTGTATTATTGATCTTGACGGAGAAGTCAGGGAAGGGGGCATGGGCTTGAGAGAATAGTATGAGCTCAGTTTTTGAAAGATTGAGTTTGATTAATATAAGATTGATATAAAGACAATGGGCATACATTTCTACTTATCGTTAAAATGTTTAAAGCTCCTTTAAATTATACATAAAGAACTTTGACAACATACTTACCTGTTTATATGCATTTTAGAGACAAATTAATATGTACTTTGTAGACATTCCTGCAGATTTTTTTCTACATTCGGGCCCAGACAAATTGCTTCTATTGATACAAGGGATCTATTTGGAAGATTACTCTTAAATGTTTTTAACAATAAAGGAGTCTCTTGTCTATAAGTATTAGCTTTCAGATAAAGATTTTTCTGTATCTTCTATTTTACACTTATTTTTTGGAGGCACCCTAAGCCTTACTGGAGTAACCCTTTATTTATTATATTGTGAAGTTGGGGTATTTTGTTTTTTGCTCTGTGCAATTTATTTTCAGCTTAGTTGACTGTATGATCCAACTGTGTGCTCTTATTCACAGATAATTGTTACTCATGAGTTTTAAGCATTAGATATTAGCAATGTCCATGCATGTAAACATATTTATTTATTTGCTATGATTTTATGGCCTTCACTTTGCTGAGGTATTATCACCATAGCAACCAGCATGTCACTCACAAAATTCTTCAGTATCAGCTGCAGATCAAATCTGATTTACAGAAAATCTCTACTAAGAGAAATACAGAGACCATTGATTACTGACCTTCTAAAAATATTAGTTGCCTGGCTGTCTGTGAAGTCAGTTCTTTGAGATACTAATCGGACACAAGCTTTCAGCTCAAAGATTTCAGAACCCGTGATAGGTGTAAATGCTCAGGGACTTAAAAATTATTCGAATTAACCAAGCATCGTGACAGCCAAAGACTAGCATTTTCAATAGTAAAAGGTCATCAGTGGCTACTTCCAAATATTAATCCTCATAACATGTTTCCTTTTATGCATATACAGACTTTATCTATAAACAATATAAATAGAAACAAGGGTGTATATAGGATGGTAATGTATACCAGCCAACCAGATATCAGGTTACTGGAGCCTGCAAACATAGTTTCTGGTTGCTATCAATTACTGCACATTAATGCTCTGCCCTACCTTATAGCATCTCTTCATCTTTTCATAAAAGAGCAAAAGTCCAAGAAGGATTAAACCACTGTGCAAGCTTTCAACGATTGGGCATGGAAGGAACGGCATACATTTGGCAGCCATAAATGAAGTAACTCTTTTCTCCTAATTAGAATTTTTTGGCTAAGGATGATGAGTCTGGGTACTTAATTTTCAAACTTGAAAAGATTGGTCCAGAAATATACTTTCCCTATTGCTCCTATTGTTCTAGTCTGTCATAATCTGGTGCAGGGCCTTCAAACTTCGATGGGCAATTCTCTACCAGGCAGAAGAAGTATATACACCAGCCAGAAAAGTATGCTTAAAGAACTCTGTCCAGCTGAATATTCACCCTCACCCTCCAATTTTATAGTATAGTATAGTATAGTATAGTATAGTATAGTATGGTATAGTATAGTATAAACACAGAGATGTCAAACTGGTGGCCCTCCAGCTGTTGCAAAACTACAAGTTCCATCATGCCTCTGTCTTTGGGAGTCATAATTGTAACTGCCAATCTTGCAATGCCTCATGGGACTTGTAGTTTGGCAACAGCTGGAGGGCCCCCAGTTTGACACCCGTGGTATAACATTTATAGTATAATTTTATACCTATAGTTTTTTTAACCACTTGCCCTCCAGAGGATTTACCCCCCTCCCTGACCAGGCCATTTTTTACGTTACTTTAACTGACAACTGTACGGTCATGCAATGCTGCACCCAAATGAAATTTACTTATTTTTTTCCCACAGATAGAGCTTTCTTTTAGTGGTATTTGATTGCCTGTGCCTTTTTTATTTTTTGCGCTATAATAAAAAAAGACCGACAATTTTGAGAAAAAAACTATATTTTTGACTTTTTGCTATTAAACATTTCCAGTAAAAAAAATTTAAAAAATCTAATTTTCTCATAAATTTAGGCCAAAATGTATTCTGCTACATGTCTTTGCTAAAAAAAATCCCAATACGTGTAACTTAATTGGTTTACATGAAAGTTATAGCGTTTACAAATGGCGGTATATATGGATTGTTTTTGTTTTATTATTGCTAGTAATAGCAGCAATCAGCGGTTTATAGCGGGACTGCAGCGGGATTCTGACACTGGGGGGAACTAACTTGGTGTCACTGACATCCCCAGCGACACCAATACAGTGATCAGTGCTAATAAAAAGCACTGACACTGTAATAATGGCACTGGGCATGAAGGGGTTAACATGTGAGGCGATTAACTGTGCTGTGTGCCATTTTACAATGTGTGCTGTGTTTGTGCTTCACTGTAAGCACACTGCTTTGCATGGCTGTGCTGTGCAGTAGCTGACAGTGTGCAGTAGCTGACAGAGAGGAGAACTGTTTTGTTTACTAACAATTATCCCTCCCATCGGAGATCCTTGGCAAACACTGGGTGCCAGCAAGCAATCACTGGCCGGGACCCTGTGATTGACAGCCGCGGCCACGAATGGTGGCGTGGGTAGGGCGCACTCATGCGCCCCCCTATCCGGAAATGCAAAATATACATGATTTTGCGCACATCTACCACCATGTAGCAGTATTTCTGCTATAGGGCATAGCTGAAACAGTTAATTATGTTTAATTATGCTTAATTTTATGCTTATATATTTGTGGTCTTGTATAGAATTGTTTATTTACATCTGCCAATCACCCACTCACAGACGGGAGAAGTTGGCACTGGAAACCATGTGATCTATTTAGTCTCCCTATATATGCATTACAACCCCTGGCAAAAAGTATGGAATCACCACTCTTGAAAAATGTTAATTCAATTGTTTAATTGTGTAGAAAAAAAAAACGATCACAAGCGTGCCTCAAAACTAGTTTCATTTAACATTCCAACCTTCTGGCTTTAAGAAATACTTAAAAAAAATAAAAAAGAAAGAAAACTGTAGTCAACTGCAACTGTTTTTGCAGATACCCCTAGCTAAAACCTAGTAGAATCAATTGCCTTCAGAAATCACCTAATTATTAAATAGTGTCCACCTGTGTGTAATTTAATCTCAGTATAAATACAGCTGTTCTGTGAAGCCCTCAGAGGTTTGTTAGAGAAATTTAGTGAACAAACAGCATCATGAAGGCCAAGGAACACACCAAACAGGTCAGGGATAAAGTTGTGGATCAGTTTAAAGCAGGGTTAAGTTATACAAAAATATCCCAAGCTTTGAACATCTCATGGAGCACTGTTCAATCCATCATCTGAAAATGGAAAGAGTATGGCACAACTGCAAACCTACTAAGACATGGTCATCCACCTAAACTGACAGGCCGGGCAAGGAGAACATTACTGCAGACGAACTGCAGGGATCCACAGCTCAGGTGAGAGAATCTGTCCACGGGTCAACTACTAGTTATGCACTCCACAAATCTGGCCTTAATGGAAGAGTGGCAAGAAGAAAGCCATAAGAAGTCCCATTTGTAGTTTGCGAGAAGCCATGCGGGGGACACAGCAAACATGTGGAAGAAGGTGTTCTGGTCAGCTGAGACCAAAATTTAACTTTTTGGCCTAAAAGCAAAACAATATGTGTGGTGGAAAAAACTGCACATTACCCTGAACACACCATCCCCACCGTGAAAGATGGTGGTGGCAACATCATGTTGTGGGAATGCTTTTCTTCAGCAGGGGCAGGGAAGCTGGTCAGAGTTGATGGGAAGATGGATAGAGCCAAATACAGGGCAATCTTAGAAGGAAACCTGTTAGAGTCTTCAAAAGACTTGAAACTGGGGCGGAGGTTCACCTTCCGGCAGAACAACGACCCTAAACATACAGCCAGAGCTACAATGGAATGGTTTATATCAAAGCATATTCACGTGTTAGAATGGCCCAGTCAAAGTCCAGACTTAAATTAAATTGAGACGCTCTCCATCCAATCTGACAGAGTTTGAGCTATTTTGCAAAGAAGAAAGGGCAAAAATGCCAAGCTGGTAGAGACATCCCCAAAAAGACTTGCAGCTGTAATTGCAGCAATAGGTGGTTCTATAAAGTATTGACTCAGGAGGCTGAATACAAATGCACGCCACACTTTTCAGATATTTATTTGTAAACAATGTTGAAAACCATTTATCATTTTCCTTCCACTTCACAATTATGTGCCACTTTGTGTTGGTCTATCGTATAAAAAATCCCAATAAAATACATTTACCTTTTTGGTTGTAACATGACAAAATGTGGAAAATTTCAAAGGATATGAATACTTTTTCAAGGCACTGTATATCTGTTTCTTTTACAATAATAAAGGTATAACTTAGGTAATGCGCTAGGCTGGTGCACCCTCTGTTCCTTGTCTTTTGCACCAATTTTTATTAGTAACCTGTTCCAGATCCATTGAGATTACATCTGTGCGGTTTCTTCAGCAGGCCACTATGGCTTGTCAAAGTCTCTCCTACAAGACCCATTCATACACTCTACAATGTCTATTTAATTCTATGCTGAGCTTGTACTTTGAATTGAAGTGTATATGTAGTGTGGCACACATGTACAGGCCCTGCAGAAAGGTGACAATTGGCCATGGAGCACTGAGGAGGCCAGACACCAGATATTTCTCAGAATCAGGGACAGTCCATATATGATATTATTTTCTTCCCATTGGGTGGAAGGAACAAAAAAGTTCCCCAATCAACATCGTCAGTAGCCTCCCACAGTGCTATTGTGTTCTGCCAGTGAGGAGGTGGGGATGTGGGAATATTCCTGGCTGACAGAACACAATGATCAGGCAGTTATTGCATGCTAAAAATTTGACAGGCTGGTGGTACCCAAGTCGATCGATGGATCGACTTGGGTACAATCAGCCTGCACATAGATAGATCAAAAGTCAGCTGCTCCCTGCTGAACGGGCTGAATTTCAATCCATCCATGGCTGGCTTTAGATTTGGAGGGAGGGTTGTGTGTGTGTGGTGGGCAGGGGGGATTGTTAAAAAGTAAGTGCACATCTGCTAAAAGTACAACTAAACTTTAACCCATGGTTAAATTATTTAATTGAGATAATATACTCCAAAATGGTACCACCATTTCTTGCATCTTTATCTCCGTGTCTACTTATCTATCAGTCTATCTATTTATCTATCTATCTATCTATCTATCTATCTATCTATCTATTATCTATCTATCTATTTATCCATTATCTATCTATCTATCTATCTATCTATCTATCTATCTATCTATCTATCTATCTATCCATGTATCTATCCATTATCTATCTATCTATCTATCTATCTATCTATCTATCTATCTATCTATCTATCTATTATTATCTATCTATCTATCTATCTATCTATCTGATCTGCTGTTACCATTATTATAAACAGTTCAAGTCTTGCTGAATATGCTTCCAAATTCATTGTTTACAACATTCTATCTGCTTTACTTGTCACCACTTTTACTTTATCATTAATGCAGCAGCTGTTGACAGAATTATATTTTTATCATCACAGTTAAGTACACATATCCTGCTAGGCTTTTAAGTTATGTTTTATCTTTGCCATTGCAACAGATTTAAGTTATGCACCGTTGTATCATATCTATTTTATCTCTACAGAGTGTCCTGTGCTTTAAGAGGCGATCAGTGGAGCTCATAATTCCAATATGCTATTAAAAATGTAGAAGCATAGTACTTTATCTTAGAGTGTGCAGCCTACATTTATAGGCACTGCTGGGACCTTACAAAGAACATAATCATATACTTCAAAACAGGAGAATATTGGTTGAACATTGGCACATGGTTGGTGACAGTGTTCTGCAAAAATTCACACGCTATGTATTATTAAAATTCTCATCATAAAACAGCAACTATTGTCATCTTTATGTGATTTTATTAATTACTCTGCAATAAAGTATCATTAGTTATATAACTGGTATCCAGGGTTGTCCTTTATAGTGTTGGCCAAAGATCCCTTCATGCAGATTGCCCTTGAACTTCATTTTGAAACCTCTATTTCATTATTCAGTCTTTCATTTGTAATGTGTTACTAACTAGCTTGCTATGACATAATTTAGAATAGAAGTGGCCCTAAGAATTACCTAGGTTTTATCAAAATAATTATTATAAGAGAACATGTTTAGAATGGTTCAATGCACTGGGTTGATTTACTAAAAGAATAAAGATTGCTAGTTTGCTAAGTATATTTTCCCAATGCAAAATAAACTTTTACCGAGTTTAACGAATAAGGTAACCATTTGAAGACTATTTTCTGCCACTTTTTGTTAACATGTAACAATCAGTATTTTTCTTTGCTAAAAAATTTCTTAGACCCCCCCAAACATTATTTATTTTTCATAGCAGATGCCCTAGAGAATAAATTGGTGGGTTTTGCACCTTTTTTGTCACATGGAATTGGTGCAGAGGCTTTTCAAACACAGTTTTTTGGGAAAAAAAAATACACTTTTTTAAATTTTATTGCAAAAAAAAAAAACAATACATGTTACAAGGTAAATAGAAACCAAACCTGTCACACTTTAAAATTGCACATACCCATGTAACGGCGACAAATGACATCAATTTTACTATCTATAGGTGACATTTTCAAAGACTTTACAGGTTAGCACTTTAGCTTTACACAGAAGGTCTGGTGCCAGAATTACTGCCCATGATGAGACGTTCACAGTGATACCTCACGTGTGTGGGACGATCACTGTTTGCGTGCGTACGAGACTGCTATGTGTGTATGCCTTTGCATGCAAGCACGGGGGGGGGGGGGGGGGGGGGTGGCAATTTCATGTTTTAAAAATTATTTATTTAATTAATTTTTTCACTGTCGCTTTAAAAATAAATTATTTTTGATCACTTTTATTGCTGTCACAAGGAATGTAAACATCCCTTTGGACAGCAATAGGCATTTGACAGGTACTCTTCATGGAAAGATTTGGGGTCAATAAGATTCCAAATCCCTCCTCTGCCCTTAAAAGCATTTAATCACCCCCAAGACCATGGTGATTACATGATTTTCTTTTTTAAAAATGGCGCTGTTTATTTACGAGTAAGCCGGAAGTAATGTAAGGTCATCGCTTCCGGGTTACTATATCATAGAGCCTAACAAAGCCGAGCCAGACTTTGTTCGACTCTGTGATCAGCTGTTGGAAGTGCCAGCTGGTCAATCGGGACTCCTGGTGGGACGGGAGATCCCAGCTAGTTAGCCCCTCCAACTGCTATTACAAGAGAGCCGACCATCGGCTCTAAAAAATGGTATTGGGATGATGTCTGCAGCTGAAGGCATCATCTTGGTATACCCACTTGAAGTCCAGTGATGTACTGGGTATGTGACTGGTCGGCAAGTGGGTAAAGCTGTGTTCACATACTTTCACATGATTGAGCACTCAAAGTGGACACAGCTTGACCT